AGAGATACCAGTCTCTCCGGCACCCCCGAAGAAGGGTCGACGGCGGGATGGGCCGGTGATTGTTGTGATCGGGGCTGGAATGGCCGGTCTGGGGTGTGCACGCCACTTGGAAGGCCTCTTCAACCATTATCATGACCCGCTCACATCGCCCCGTGTGATAGTACTGGAAGGAAGACGCAGGATAGGGGGTCGTATCTACTCACATCCTTTGCGAAGCCTTCAGTCCTCTACCTTAGCTCCAGGATTAGTTCCCAAGGCTGAAATGGGCGCTCAGATTATCGTCGGCTTTGACCATGGAAATCCTTTGGACCAAATTATTCGGGGCCAGCTGGCTCTTCCCTACCATCTATTGCGCGACATATCTACAATCTACGATATAGATGGCTCAGCGGTGGATGAAGCGCGGGACGCAACAGACGAGATGCTCTACAATGATATACTGGACCGATCCGGGAATTATCGCCATAAGTCCGTGATAGTGCCAACAGCAGAAGGTGACCGGGATCTTATCGATTCCGGACGTGATGTGTCCACTAGCGACGGCCTTACAATAAGACAATACGAAGAAGCCAGGGCTGCTGGGACCATCGGGCTTCTGTTTCCTGCCAAGCGCGTCCGGCGAGGTGTTGGCCACAAAACCGCCGACATTAAACCGGCCGGGGCCTCATTGGCCGAATCTGACAACAGCGAGGAAAACCCAGCTCGCCTTGCCTGTCAAACGATGGGCTGGAGTTTCAACGATGGGGTTGCAGTGAACCAGACCATCAATCTGGACAATGTGGCTAAAGCCTCCCCGTTCCCGACATTAGGCGCCGTGATGGATGATGGTGTGCGACAGTACCGGCGCATGCTCCCATTGACCCCGAAAGACATGCGACTATTGAATTGGCATATGGCTAATTTGGAGTACGCAAATGCGGCGAACATTGGCAAGCTCAGTCTTTCCGGGTGGGATCAGGATATGGGCAACGAATTTGAGGGAGAGCACTCACAAGTGATCGGTGGATATCAGCAACTGCCGTACGGGCTCTTCTCGCTGCCTACAAAACTTGATGTTCGTACCAACAAAATTGTCAGCAAAATATCCTATGGCCATACAGAACTAGGCAAGCAGAAGACGGTGGTTCATTGCGAGGATGGTGAGTCTCTCGTTGCGGATAAGGTTGTCTTTACGGGATCTCTGGGTGTCCTGAAACAACACTCGATACAGTTCTCTCCTCCGCTCCCGGATTGGAAAGTTGGTGCGATTGACCGACTTGGCTTCGGGATCATGAACAAAGTGATCTTAGTCTTTGATCAACCTTTCTGGGACACGGAACGTGATATGTTTGGGCTTCTGCGTGAACCTAGCAACCGAAACAGTATGATGCAGGAGGACTATGCTGCAAATCGTGGCCGGTTCTACCTGTTTTGGAACTGCATGAAGACCACTGGTCTCCCGGTCCTTATTGCTCTCATGGCTGGTGACGCCGCGCATCAAGCCGAGAATACAGCAGATTCGGTAATCATCGCCGAAGTGACCAGTCAGCTGCGTAATGTCTTCAAGCATGTGGCTGTTCCAGACCCCTTGGAGACCATCATAACTCGCTGGGGTACGGACAAGTTTACTAGAGGGAGCTACTCGTATGTAGCAGCGCAAGCACTTCCGGGCGATTATGACCTGATGGCCAAGCCAATCGGCAACCTGCATTTTGCCGGAGAAGCCACCTGCGGCACTCACCCTGCTACGGTCCATGGGGCATACCTATCCGGACTGCGTGCTGCATCTGAGGTTATTGAGTCCATTCTGGGCCCCATTGACGTGCCCAAACCGCTTGTTCCGGAGAAAGACAAAGCTGTCGACCTTGGCATACCCGTAGCGACGACAGGTCAGAAGCGAAAAGAACCTCCCTCAACAAACAGCAAGGGACCATCACTCGACCCCACTGATGCAACGGCGAACAATGCAACACCTGAGGCACTCCATCGGGAAGCGTATGACAAAGCCATGTGGGCCGCCATCTACGAGGAACTGGGGGCGCCACCCCCACGACCAGCACGCACCGCGCTTAACCCGTTCCTGCTGTACCAGAAAGACTACTGGGGCAAATGTCGCACGCAGTGTGACGAAGCCCGCCGAGCCGCAACCAACGATTCCAACGCCAAGGCCGCGCGCGACGAGATCCGTCAAGCGCTAGGCCTCATGTGGCGCCAGGCCAGCGAGGAGGTGAAACGACCCTACTTGGAGCAGATAGAGGTCAATCGACAGGCCAATGCGAAGATCTGGGATACCTGGCGTCGCGACAATGCGGAATGGGAGAAGAAGTCGTACGAGGTCAAGGATCGGTGGTGTGCTGCGAATCCATTTGCAACCTGGGGACAGCCTGCGTCGTCGCAGGAACCAAGTACAACCATTGCTTCGGAGTCTTCCCATCAGTCTGCGAGTGCTAGCCATTCTGACCCTTCGCTGATCTCGCATGATGCCAATGCTGCTGTTGCTGGTTTTAACGGGACTGCTGCTACTGCCGGATCTGTTATGCTGCCTAGCCAGCCAGAGGCGCCAGCTACAGCGACCACGAATGGCACTTCAGGAGATAGCGTTCAATGAACCCTTCCTTTCCCTACTACCCTTCTACAATCCCCCTACCAACCTACCACAGTTAACACCCATCCAACTGCATCCTTTGTATGATTATGACTCTACTAAAGAAACAATGACCCTTTTAGACAAGAGACGAGAAAAAGATATGTGTAAAAGAAAAATTACTCTATAACGTCTTTCTACTCTATTTTGTATTCACATTCACATTCATGAGATCAGATGGTCGACGAAAATGATGACCGATCGAATCATCGAAAAACCTCCATCTTTGAAAAAGAACAATCCCGTGTATCACAAAACAATAAAACAACAGAATCGCTGGAGTGAGTCTAATAATATATAAAGCAGCCGTCACGGTAACAGGATAAATGGAAATGCAAACACACAAAAACAAGCCATGGCCCCACCTTGGCTAGAGCATAACAATGACAGATCCGTCTAGGTCGGTCTAAATGAAAACTCCAGGTCTAGATAAGATAATAGAGAGGAGGGGAATAAATATAAGGGAAAAGAAGATTGGGAGGTATAGGGGATGGCGATGATGTGAGAGGATATGAATCGCTTAAAGCAGAGGGTTGGACTTGTACTCGGCGGCGGCGCCCTCACCGTCCTGCTTGACTTCGCCGTTGACCTCCTGGGTGGCAGGCTTGACGGCGGCCTTCTCGGTGGAGGTGGCGGGCTCCTCGCCGGACTCGCGCTCGGCGATGTACTTCTCGGCCTCGAGAGCGGCAATGCAGCCGGATCCTGAGAGTTCAAGTTAGTGGGTTGCAATAGACATATATGCGGGGGTTGGGGTGAAGCTTACCGGCACTGGTGATGGCCTGGCGGTAGCGCTTGTCCTGGACGTCACCGCAAGCGAAGACACCCTCAACGCTGGTGTAGCTGGTGCCGGGCTGGGTGACGATGTATCCGTCCTCGTCGAGCTTGATCTGGCCCTTGACCAGGGAGGTGGCGGGGTCGTGACCGACAGCGTAGAAGAGACCGTTGGCGTCAACAACCTCCTCCTCGCCGGAGACGACGTTCTTGACCTTGAGGTGGGTCATCAGGCCGTTGGGCTTCTCCTCACCGAGCACCTGGGTGGCGACGGAGTTGAAGCGGACGGTGACCTTGGGGTGGGACAGGAGACGGTTGGCCATGGCCTTGCTGGCACGGAGCTTGTCCTTACGGACAAGGACAGTGACGCTGCTGCCGTACTTGGCCAGGAACATAGCCTCCTCGGCGGCGGAGTCACCACCACCGATAACGAAGAGGGGCTTGTTGCGGAAGATGGGCACAGCACCGTCGCAGACGGCGCAGGCGCTGATACCGTTCTGCCAGTACTTCTCCTCGCCGGGGAGGTTGAGGCGACGAGCGTTGGCGCCAGTGGCGATGATGACGGCGTCAGCAGTGTGAGCGGGCTCGTCGGTGGGACCGTCACTCCATTCCGTCCACAGCTTGAAGGGTCTCTGGGAGAAGTCGACCTTGGTGATGGTCTCGGTGATAACCTCCGTACCGAAGCGAACGGATTGCTTGCGCATGTTCTCCATCAACTCTCCACCGCCAATGCCGTCCGGGAAACCGGGGAAGTTCTCGATGTCGGTGGTGGTGGTAAGCTGACCGCCGGCGGCGGTGCCGTTAGCCAGCATACCCTCATAGAGGACGGGCTTGAGTTCGGCGCGGGAGAGGTAGATGGCCGCAGTGTGGGCGGCGGGGCCGGAGCCGATGACTGTGTAACCCGGTTAGATTTCTTCCTTCATTCTCTCTCCTTTGCTTGCCATGTATTTCTCGAGGGAGACAAGGGGATCCACTTACTAACGACGTTGGTGTGCACCATTCTGGAGGCTGAAGTGGAATTGACGCGCAGGGGCGCCTTGAGGTTATTGGATAGGACGGAGGCCGAAGGCGAGGAGTTTTGTTGCAGGGACGACGCGGCGGCGGCAGTCAATCCAAGAGAGGAACGAAGGGTGGAGAAGGGAAAACGACGAAAAGCGGAGGAAAACAGATTGGCGGTGTTGAAGGGGGGGAAGCGATTAGCTTTTTAAGTATGAGTAGAAGAGGAGGGGAGGAAAGAGAGAGAAAGCGGAAGAGCGAAGAGGGGGGTTAAATGAATTATCTCTGGGCAGACAGAACAGAACGGAGAGGCGAAGAGGGGTGGGGAAAAGGGCTGGCCGGCACGGATTAGCTAAGGGGAAGCGCAGAATTGCAACGGAGTGGGGCAGAGAAAAGAGAGAGAGAGAGAGGTGGGTGTTGGTGTGATTATTGAGACGCACCTTTGGAACTGATTGATAAGGTCGAAGGAACCAGAAAACAGACTCAACAAGTCAGGAAAGGGTGGATTGAAGACCAAGTGAGGGCAAGCACGACTGGCTCACAAATCATCCGCGGCGAGACCCGGTCACGTGCATTAGTTGCTTACCAACCGGGCTGGGCGAGACCCGATTATGTCATTTAGTTATCAATGGAAAGGGTCGGGAATAGCATCAGATCACATCATTGTCATATATGAACAAGAATAAATAAAGAATACATTATTCAGTCGTCACTCGTGGAATCATATCACTCATCATAAAGCATCTCGAACCTCTCTCCCTTCTATTTGGATCGCCCAAACCACTTTTTCCGTTTAGGCACCTCCTTATTCTCTTCTTCTCCTCCCCCCATTCCCATCTCTCCCGCATCCGGACTCACAGGCACCAGTGTCTCCGGCGGCAACACGCCTCCTTGAGCAATCTCGAACCTCGCTCGCACATCATCTTCGTCATCAAACCCATCGTCCTCGTCTTCCTCATCCGTCATGCCCTGCTCGACGTCGGTATCTTCCACCGGCGCTTTGTCGGCCTTCTTGCGTCGCACTCCCAGCCATTTCTTCCACCCTTTCGGCACTGATGCCGCAGGCGGATCGTACTCCATGTCTTCGTAGCGTAGAATTGGCACGAGCAACTTGTATGGCGTCGTGATCCCCGCCGGATCCTTGGGGTTTAGCTCGAGATTAAGCGTGATAGCCAGGCCACCTTCCAGATTGATCAACGCCCCGAGCCCATCATCACCCCGTTTGGACTTCTGACTGAGGTTGGTGGGTCGTCGCAGGAACGGGCCGGGCTTGGGTTCACCTGCATCATCTGTGTCTGCGGTCGGGAAAGCCCCGTCCATGCTCATCCGACGCGCAGGTGGTGCCTCTCCCAGATTGAAATCTTTGGTGGGAGGCGGGCCCCGAAGGGAGAGTCGTCGCAGGAGCCCGGTCCGGGGAGGCTTCTCCCCGCGAGTGAGAGACAATGTTCTCTTGAGCTTGGCGGGTCGGGGTTCTTCCTCAGCTGGGGCATCGGGCGGCGTTCCGGGTGGCGTGGTGCCTATCAATCGGTCAGACACCGAAGCGTCATGCAGGTCTCGTCTTAAGACGCCATAATAAATGTGGGGCAACTTACCAGGCTTGTACTCCCGAATAGAACACCAATTTCGGCGTGGGAGCAACCGTTTGTTGTTCCGGGGCTTGTTATTCACATCATGGGTAAAGATGGGAACCATATCTTCGTCCGTGTTGGTGTCCATATGATGCACGCGGTTGCGCTTGTTGAGCATGTCGGATATCATCTCCGTCTCGGGCATGTCAGCGATTGCTGAAGATATGACGTTTGGCATGTATCGATAGTCTCGGTCTTTGGGCACGTCCAACTTGGGATTGGAGTAAAACTGGCCGATCGCCGCCAGATGCACGTCGCCGCTGGAAACAGTCTTGGTTAGTTATATCCTGCACTGCAGGGGCAGACTAGCTCTTACCTTAGAATGGTCACCCGGACGGATTTCTCTGCCGCAAGGTCCTGAAGGTCCTCGATCAGATATGTCCGCTCAGCCTTGTGCCGCTTAGAGGTCCAGTGATCATCGAAGATCTCGACTTTGGCGCCATTCTTGTTCACAAAACCGCCGAAAAGCCCTGCTTTTCCAAGCGACTTCCGGCTGTTGAGGATATTCTTGACCATGGCCTGCGAAGATATTAGCATAGCGCGAGGGGGATTAGACAGGAGTCAGTGACATACCACTCGTGGATACGCCAGGGGGATGCCCAGGGACACAATCAAGTGTCGGGTTTCGTTTCGAACTATCTCCTGGTGGCATCTATCCCAGATCAATTCACCAGTTTCTTCCGAAATAATCTCGTCGGTCTGGCGGTTCGCTGTTAGCATCAAAGTAGTACCTAACGTGCCGTTGAATACTTACCATTCGTTCTGTTCGGCAATCCAAACCGAGGAAAGCTACTCCGTCACCCAGCGACATGAACAGATGCCGACTGCGTTGATTGATATAAGGTCCTGGCTTGGCACCAAGCAGCCAGCTAGGCTCCTCAGTTTCAGTTTCTTCCGGGACACTATGATGCTGGAAAAGCAAGTAGTACTTGAACGCAATATTGCCTAGTCCCGAGATGACGGGCGAGTTCATGAATTCCTCCGGGTAGGAGCCGAATCCCTCGATGATCTCGTGGTCATTCCACATATTGACCATAGGGATCTGGGAGTTGGCGAGGGAGAACAATCCTTGCGAGAACCAAGAGGCATAATTCTCCAGGTAGAAGTCTTCCAGTTCTGCCTTGAACTCTGCAGTAAAGGGCGCCTCGTATTTCTCGCCCAGATTCTTGATCTTGACCCATTCCTGGAAGTGGGCGGTTTCCGCAATTACCTTGTCATTGAAAATCTGATCGCCACCACCAATCATGACGTGGAAAGGACGAGTCTGGTGCTCATTCAGGACATCTCGCCAGAGAGGGTCTGGGCCGCTGAGCTTGTTAGAGTCTACCGCGGGGCTGAATCCATTGCCGGTATGGAACATAATGTTCATTGACTGTCCCCTGGCTGGCACCCAAAAGCCTAGAGCCGGTCCATGATTCAGACGGTACGCGACCCGCTGCTGAGTCGGGCCCAACTCAATCTCAATGTTGAATTTCCAGAACGTGACGTCCCGTCCGGGATCAGCATAGAGACGAGCGCCTGTGATTTCCTTGTAGCTTCCAGCAGTCTCTCCGTCCATGGAGTGGATGCGATTGGCCGGGACCGGCTGTTTGACACCTTCACTGCTATAGTCCATAATACTGGGGGACAATTCAAAGATTCCGTCGTCATTTTCAACAAATGACAGATCTTCTCCTTCCGCAGTATGCTCTACAGGCTTGACATACAGAGGTCGTCCGTCCCGGCCCAACTTCATCAATCCTGCGGTTGGGTCAACGTACTCGGGTGCCAGTTGAGAATCTTCCCCTCCTACCTGGACGGGCGGAGGAGCAAGAAGGTCCATGGGCTGAGCAAACACCCTCAACGTTGGACGCGGCTCATAGGAGGAGAGTGAGTCTTGTGTAACGATTAGGACACTGCCTCTCCAGGTCTCCTTGTTAAATGGCCCATTGGGACCATCAATTCGGACCCGCTTCAAGCCAGCGTAGCGGAGCAGAGGTCCGCTTTGTAAGAAGATTGATGGCTGAAAGCGCTTGTTACCTGTATAGAATGCGTGGTTAGCAATCAGATAGCCTTGATTTGATAATCTAGTTTCTTGCTGCTTACTTGTTGGCTTCTGAGCTGACGGCTTCTGGGCAAAGCTGTTGGGCAGGGCCCGACTGAGTCTGCGGTTGCTGCTTTCGCCAGTTTCCCACCAGGCCTTACTCCGATCGGCATCAAAACGTTGGAAGTCGAAATCAGAGGCTCCCAACCTAGCTATAGCTGCAGTCCTCCATTCAGAGAGAGGAGGCGGCGTTGGCGGGGGCACGTTAAACGAGACCTTGGGCTTGGACGGCACATTTGTCTCCGCTGGAGCAGAAGGCATTATTGGGTTGTTCACATCCAGTCCACTGTCTACGCTAGGCTTGGCAGGTGCTGTTCCAGTAGGATTCTTTAACACTCCCTGCTGGGTAGTCGGTCCTTGCATAGAAGGCCCCCTCTCCGGGATAAGTTGTGGGGACGACTTAGTTTGATAAGCCGCCGGGTTGGCAACTGGTGGCGCACGGGTGCTGGGCTGAATTGGAACGGCCTTCCTGGCCGGGACAGTCATTCTAGATTGATCAGGAAACGCCGAGTCGGGAGCTGAAGAACTAGGTGGATACGGTTGTGCATCTCGTTGTTTGCCCTGATTCATTGCTCGCGGGCCCATCGGTGGTCCTTGCGGAGGGTGGCTCACAGATACCGTTCGCCTCGGAGCGGTGCCGGTTCGTGCCATCGGCCCGTCTGGCCGACCCCCATTGAAGTCCTGAATCTCGTCAAAAGCGCGCTCTGCGGCGTCTTGTGAAGGTGGCATTCGGCTGCGAGGCGGCCTGGCTCTTTCGGAAGATTCTGGCCCTTCGGGGCTGTATCCAGTGTGTCCTTCAGAAGCCGCATGCCGATGATGCGATCGCTTTGCTCCCTGTGCCGGTCTTGGCTCGGCCATTCGTCCAGGGACTGCTCTCTTATCCACGCTCTCTAGTGATTCAGAAGGCTGCGCCATTGCTGTTGCACGACTTTCGGTCTGCCGTTTCATCCGTTCCCTCAGTTTCATTTCAGCCTCTAGAGCGCGTGCCCGCTTCTCCTCCTTGCTCGCACCCGTATAAGTGGTCTCGAGCTTTTGGAGCGGCGAGCGATCGGATGCCCAGTCCCGTCGCTGTTCGGTTGCAGAGCGGACCGTGCTCGACCGACTTACTGGGGATGGCTGACTATTTGAGGATAAAGAGGCCTTGTGTGCCTCAGCGCCGTGCTTATCAGCTCTCGTGGCCGATGATTTCGAGCGCTTTTCAGACCATACTGGGCGGTCCGGCGTTGGGAGATTCTCTCCTTCTTCCATGTTGTCTTCTGGATACACGTCTCTCCTGTAGCTTTTGCTTCTGGTAGAATATGAGCGCGACCTATGGTGGCTTTGAATCCTGCTAGAATTGGCTGGATAGGGCGGCGGTGGCCTTGAATTGTTGGGGTTGGCGTAAAAGTCGTTATCCTCGTAGTAATCCGGCGCAGCGGACTTCACGACATGGGACGGCTGTCTTTTGTGCGACGGGGCTGTATAAATACCATTGGTGGGCGCCTGCTGCAGATACGTGGGAGCTTCCGTGGGAGGGGCGGGGAAGCGATCTGTAGCCATGTTTGCGGTGTAACTCGCAGCAAACGCAGCAAATGTGTTACTAGCAGCTCCGCTTGTTCAAGGAGGCTCTGGCCAGCGAATGAATTCAAGGCGTGTTTCGGATCGGTGTTAGTCCTTCGTTGGTCCAGTTGATACGTAGTCACTGTGGCGCATTCAACTGGTCCACTTGAAACAATTACCCCGTGAAATAGTGGCGATGGAAGTATATGATTGTAATTGATTCAAATTGATGAGATCCCGGAGTGACGCCTCGATTAGTAGTATAGCATTGCAGTTGAAGGCAGTGTTGGCAAAGTATGCACTGCAGGTGGCGGAAGCCTAGTAGTAGGCCTGCCTTGGTACTGGTAGTTTTCCTCACGTTTCGGGGTATATAAGTCGGAGATAATATAAGTACTATGCAGTATAACTACAGATCTGCCGGTGGAGTAAACAATCGGGATACCCGCTAAGCAAAGGGGCCGACGAAACAATCGGGAGGTGAAAGAATGGAAGAAAGGGAATGTGAGGAATGTAGGTAGAGGGAGGGGAGAGGACGAAGAGGAGAAGAAAGAAAAAAAAAATGGAGCACGGGGCAGAGGGCAATGCCCAACGAAAGGCGTAATGCTAATATACGATGGGGATGGGGATTTGATCGATCGGAGGGGAGATGTCAATCTAAACCGGTGGCTGGTAAAAAGCCCAGCCCTCTCTCTTCTTCTCTTCTCTCTAACTCGCCTGTTTCATCTTCTCTGCGGGGGCGTCCACCCATGAGCTCTGCCAGGTACACACTGACTCGGCCGTTTTTCTTCCCGCTATATCTTTTTCTATTATTGTCTTATGGATCGTCATTGTGAGGATATTTGTGAGTTTTCGTTGGGCAGGTGTGTGGTCAAATTACTGCCGTCAACGTCGCCCCGTCTGCCACCTCAAAATGCCTCGTGTACATGTTGGACAGTGTTGTCAGTCTAGCCAGCCGTGAAGAAAATTATTGACAATGGATCTCCTCTGTCACACCTACTTGTCACCCAACATCGTGGTGAGAGTTAAGCAAGGAATGGAGGAGGGAAGTATATTGTGCAGCCTAGACACTTGCATCATATCATGGCTGTGCGGGTGTTGCACGCGCTTGGCAAGAAACACCTTACTGGAACCACCACCATTGGATGGCTGAGCTCATTGCCCAAATCCAACGCTCGAGCGGCACTAATACTTGAACCTCAATGGCTACATGTGTGACTAACAGGTGTAGTTCAATTCTCTGGCTGTCTGAACTCTCAGGTTGTTATGCCAGTGTTGTCTCCCTTGTGTTGTTCATGGCTTGCTCTGTCACATGACCCAGTATATCGGTTTTACCGAATGGGGTAATCCAGAACGCTCTGGCACTCCAACCTCATACATCATCAGCACGCCTTGTAAGAGCCCTCGTACTAAGGATTAAGTATATACTAGTCTGCAGTGACACGGGTAATTTTTTTTCGATGTTTGCCAGTGTTGAACCGAGTAAGAGGCATAGATCACCAGAATGGAAACGAGCTGATTTTCTTGTCGACAACAAGGCGATATAGGACTAATATATCGAACTCTATGTTTGGCAAGTAGCAAGTCCCTTTATAGATGCCGAAGCGGCTGATGAGAACAGAAGAGAATCTCCGATCATTGTGGACTGCGAAACGCGGGTAGGTGGCACATACATAGTCTTAAGCTGTAACATGAAGCAATCAGGCATGCAGTACTCCCTGGATAAGGAGTCAGATTAGCACAAATACATTCTTTTCGCGACCAGGTAACACACTGAGATAATCATGCGACCGAAAGTTTGAACCTGAATATTCAGGCATTGTGCTGCTCAAAAAGTTATTTGTCTGACCATCTTGGGGTTTCGATCCACTACATTGAGGGCAGGTGTTAGCAACTTGTGCAGGGGGTAGAAGTTAGCATATAGCGAAGAGGAACCGTTGAGAAGGTCTTTGTCCTTAGGGCACTGGAATCTTCAAAAGCATATGTTCGACTCTTTCCCGCCCCCCTCCTGCCCTGTGGTATGTTTCAAGGTTCCTCGCCAGAGATCGGGTGTGTTTTGCTATTAGGTCGCACGCTCCGATACAGCCTTATTGACACGATATGGTGACTTGATCAGACCATAAAAGAATGACTGGCCATATGCACAATCCCATAAAGGCGGTTTCGTCTGCGAATAGAGGCAAAACCCTCCGAGGTACAGGTGGCATCTTTATAAACTAGTCTCGTCGTCAGATTTGATGGCTAGATACAAAATGGTCTGCTTGCTTTTTTCGCTTCATGGATCAGTGAGTATATTAACCATTTAGATAGATGGTTCGGGTTGAGGAAGGCTGTTAGAAGATATATGTCGGAGCTCTTAGAAAGGGAATGGGTTTGGATAGCTCTAGGCCAGTGTTTGAACATTTAGGTCTACCGTGAATCCTATTGAAAACATAAAACCCGTAGACTGGAGCTTTAAGGGGCCAAGAATAGCAAAGTAAATATATAAATAGTAAGGGAGCTTCATAGTGAGAAACCTGAAATAGGTTTCGCATAGCAAGGAAGTTATATAATTAAAGAGGTGTTCATATGTCACATGAGTGTGGTGCATGAGCAGAACAACACACTAGGCGAAGAGGAAGCATATGGATTGGGGTAATGGAGCGGTGTGGGAGCCATCTCAAGCCAGAAGTGATTAGAGTGGAAAGCAAAAGCAGATCTTGCCTTTAGTGAATACAAGAAAGTAATGGAAATTCCCAAGACGGTCATTATCGGATACATCACATGTATAATCTTGTTCGCGCGGGACTTCCCACAGTCTTGCCGAGACGCTTCATGCTACTATTCCACCCATGCATCGTCCAGGCTTCCGTGTACCTACAGTAAGGACATGTTCCTATCGTGCAGCTAGGGTGGACTACCTATAAAATATACTCTATTAAAAGCCTAAGATTCGTTGCATATCAATAATTGGATGATGGGTTACCCCTACGACGAATGAATTTAGTCGCTCATCTGCTCGTTGTACTTGACTTATAGTTTCTCCCTGTGATCCTCCTTGGTGTGTAGATGCAACGAAAGAACAAAGTGGTCGAAGAGGAAGAACACGGAGGACCGAGTTCTTTCCATGTATGATGGCTCTTTCGAAGATATATATGCACGGGTGATCATATGCATTGTCCCGGGGAGTAAGTGCTAGTTGAGGCAATCGCTATTAACGGAAACGCTCTCTCTCATTTCTTGAATGGCCACGTCAGCACGCGGGAGCATCAATGCCTATAGTGTAATGAAAAGACGGGCGAGAAATGTTCGAGAAAACAGAGAGCTTCTCCGGCGGAGGAGCTGGACAGATTAATCTCTATTGAGCCTCTGTAGTTCTGTTCCGCGCTCTGTTGGTTCAGTTTGTCATACGCGCTGATAAATTAGTTAACTAATCGAGCCTTGGGCAGGGACAGTTCTACTAGCAATAGTGTTATCTAACCACGGAAAGAGTCCCGCGGTGGAGTCCAAAATTGCTTATCAGCGATAACCCTAAAAGTCAGCCTTGTTATACTACTGCATATTATAGCAACCCCTAGCAGAAACGCCAGCTGGTGGATCCTTCGTCTATGGAAGGATTCATGTACACTCATCCAAAGCGGAAAAGAACCCGACCTGATTACAAAAGAATCAAAAGGACAATATGTCAGCACGCTTGTAGAGCTCAACTTGTTATGCTTACTTGTCAATTAATAGCTGAATATCACTGCAATAGTGACTGTCTCAAATTCAGACTAAGCTCCGAACAGCCTAGCCCATCATTGATCTCATTAAAACAGTTTTGAACAAGTTTTGAACTGTTATCTCTGGTGGCGGTCGCTGGATGACAGCTGCTCTATCTGGCAATCTCCAGACAATTCCAAGACTGAATACATCTGGGAAGGAACACACAATGCAGCCAGAAGGAGAAAAGAACAGATACAAGCCAGGTGATGTCGATACGACATCGTCCGAAAGCACACCCGACGATGAAGCAGTCCTCGCACAAACAGCCGTTTCATCCAAGCCCTTCAGCACTACACGCGCGAATCTCACTATTGTCAGTCTCACGGGCGTCAGCTTCCTCAATACTATGGGATCAGGCATCCTGACCGTGGCCCTCCCACAAATGGCGATCGACCTTCATCTAGACGAAGATATCCTACTATGGCCCGCATCAGTCTACGCGCTCGCAGCGGGTTGCACTCTGCTGCTCTTCGGCTCCATTGCGGATGCAGTGGGTGACAAAATAATATGGATAACTGGGAGTATTCTGTATGCAATATTCACGCTGGCCTGCGGCTTTGCACAAACGGGGAATCAGCTCATCGCGTTTCGGACTCTTCTGGGTCTTTGCATCGCAATGTGCTTGCCCTCTGCAGTTAGCCTAATGACGCGCAGTTGCCCCTCGGGAATAAGGCGAAACATTGGATTTGCATCAATGGGAATGGGGCAGCCTTTAGGCTATTCATTGGGGCTCATCCTTGGTGGTGTGTTCGTTGACACGATCGGATGGCGCTATGGATATTATATCAGTGCTATCATCAATGCTGTCCTATCGGCCACGGCTACCTGGGCGCTGCCCGCCGTTAACAAACCCCACGGAGAACCGTGGCATCGGCGCATGGCAAAGATTGACTGGATTGGGGCAGTCATCATTAGTGTCTCGCTGGCATTGCTGTGTTTCGTGATGGCGTAGGTGTTCCCTCACTCTCCCGCGTTCGACTCTGTCTTGCTAAAGTAATGTGTCCTGCAGTGAACTCTCCGGAAGTTATCGAAACATTCGCACAGGATACGTCATTGCCCTCCTTGTTGTTTCACTGGTGCTCATTCCTGCATTCATTGCCTGGATGAATTGGCGACAACGAAAGGGTCAGCCCGCCCTCATTCCCAACAGTATATGGCGTAACACCACATTTACCTCGACATGCATCATCGTGTTCTTTACCTGGGCTGTTTTCAATGCCTTCCAATACTTTTCGTCGCTCTAGTAAGTTAACATTCTATTCTACAAGGAGGCTATGGCAGGTGGCTGACGAGTATGGGCAGTTTCCAAAACATCCAGCATCATTCTGCTCTCATCTCGGCCGTGATGTTTCTACCCTTGGTGATCGTCGGGGCGCTCACGAATATTGTCACGGGCTACGTGGTGGATAAAGTTGAGGTACGAACATTAGTCTTTGTATCTGCCTGCATCAGCACTATCTCTGCTCTGTTGATGGCATTGGTCAAACCGAGCTGGGGATACTGGCGGGGGCCGTTCGTGGGGATGCTTCTGAGCCCACTTCATCCAGAT